TCTCTAAGGTCACCCAATCCAAACCCAATGCACCCCACCATGCCCACTGACCACATCCCTCTGTGCCACAGCTCCACAGTTCTTGAACACTTCCAGGGAAGGTAACTGTACCACCTCCCTGGGCAGCCTGTGTCACTGCATCAGCACTCTTTCTGACTAGAATTATTCCCTAATATCCAACCTGAACCTCCCTTGGCATAACTAATAGGCCATTAATTCTTGCCCTGTCGTGGGTTTCAGGCTGCATGGAAAGGCTGAATGTTCACTGATTATATCTGGTGAACTCTTCCCTTGATTTTCCTTGCGTATTTCCCTTGGCAATGTCTAACCCATGCCTGTGATTTTAGTGACAAGCAAGTGGCAATGCTCATGAAGCAAAGGACTCTTTTCTATGTGGGGCTTTTCTTTTCCTGATAGGATTCCAAGTTAATTCCTCATTTAAATATGTGCTCTGTACCCCCAAGAAGAGAATTTTTTCTGTTAGTTATATAGCATGCTATATAAACATGCTATATAAATGTGAAATATTTTTTATTAACGTTTAATGGAATATTTAGTTATGTATTGACACTAGAAAATAGACTGTATTATTTTTACACTGTGATATGCAAATATACTCATTATTATTGCAGATTAGGAGACTGGATTTGCTAATGTTTTTTAATAATGTTTATTATATTCCTCTGACAAAAATACCCATTAAAATACCACTTAAAGAAGATGAAAACTGCAGACATCTGAAATCAATTTCGATATTTTAAAAAAGAATAAGTTTTAAAAATTCAAATCTGCATTTTTCTGCTTTTACAAATGGCCCACCAAATCAATATTTCAGGAGAGTGAATCAATATTTCAGTACACTGTGATATAAAGTAAAAAAAATTGGTCTATTAGCATCTTTTTATTAGCATGTCAATTGCAGTGTACAAAATTTGCACATATGGGTAAAGAAATTGTTTCCTGAAAATGTGCAAATTGCTACTTCACTGAATGTAAATGAAGTGCTAATTGCTCTTTGCAAACAATATTTATGCAAATTATGCCCTGCTGCTTACATAGCAGTGTGGGTTTTACATTTACTTTTGTCAGATTTTTTTTTCTCCATCCATTTGACAGTGCCTGGACATAAGGACTTGTGCTATTACTCACTTTATTTTCAAGGCATTTTATGGAGATGTGAATGGGTGAAGAATGGGAAAAGACCCGCAGACAGTAATACATCACGACCTAGATGGCAGATCTAAGTCTGTTCTGTTATCCTGCTTCATCATTCACTAAGAAAACTGTTTGCAATAAATTATTAATATCAATTTTTTTTTCATTTCATTCTGCTTGCCTTTTGACCCCCAGTATGTTGGAAAAATCAAGCTCCAAAAATGCCTTTCATGAGCTATCCTTTCTCTGTGGCATGTTTCTAAATCAAAAGTTTGGGAGATGGTCAGCAGTCAGTCCTTTATTACAGGTCATCCTCTGTGACCAAATGTTTTATTTAAGTAATCAGCCTCTTCTACCTATGGCAAATTTTAGAGCCAGTAATGCTGTTGCACATTCCTTCTGCTGGAAGCTGAAGCGTGACGATCAGAAGGTTGTGGTGGGTGGTTCTGATGATAGATCGCTCTTAGAAACCTCTGCTCTCCATAACAACAATAAACACTACCAGGCCAAATGTTTAATTCAGATTAATACATTTTGAATTTTTTTTTCCTTTGTTTTTATTTTAATTTGCTTGTCTGTTTGTTTCTGATGCAACCTACTTTGCTTCTTCCTCTTTTTCCCATTAATGTCTCTTTAATTCTAACAAGTCAACGTACCCTGTCTAGAATTTCCTAGCCATAAACAAGAGAAGCCTTTTAGAGCTTAAGGAATACGTTCTAAAATATTCTGAATATTGACTGTAAATTTTCATTTTGAACCCTTAAAAATTCCCCCTATACTTATTAACATTGTGTTTCTTGACGTGAAAACTTTCTTCAATTGCTATTACCAGATTTGTCATTAACTTCAGTGGAGTTAACTTCATAGTTTCATTTCTTAAAATATATTCTCTAATGTAAGACATGATTTTTTTCTTTTTACAGTGTTTTTTTATTGACTTCTGGAATTTGAAATTGTCAGGTCTTCAGATGGCTCTGCCTTCTTGCTCTCAAAAACATGGAAGGCAAAAAATATTTTTTTATTTCTTTCTAGATTGAATGGACATAATGCATCTTCATAGCATCAAGGAGAATGTAGCACAATACAATTTAAAAATAAATATTGCTAGAGGAAGAGAACAAATATGCCTGGGGGAGCTGGCCAGGACTCTCACAGATTATTTGGATTGGCTTTTATTGCTCTCTGGAGGCAGGCAAGCTGTCTTCTCCCACACTGCCAAATGGTCTCTGTTACCCTTTTTAGCTCCACTGCTATTTCTGCCTGAATTTGGCCATGTCACTCATGTTCACAGGACAAAATGTCAAATCCTTCCTCATTTTGCTCTGGTGACAGGTCATGCTGCGTTCCATGGCCACAAGATTCACCCCAGCCTAGACAACCATCCAGAGCATCTCCCAACAATAGGTTTTCAGTGAGCTTCCCTGAAAGCTTCCTTCCTACAAAGAGGATCCGTCAGGCACAACTCAAGTGTGTGGAAGAGTAAAAGTTCACTAACAGTCGCTTGTGCGCAGCTTTTCAGCTGAGGAACTTCTCATGTGATGTCAGTAGCATCATAGAGCACTCATGTGATGCTCCTTTACACAAGTCACCATGTCATCACAGCTGGGTTGGTGTCATTAAATGGTAAGTAAGAAATTGATGGGGAAAAAAAAAACAAATATTCCACTGTCCCCTGGTGAACATGTCTGGCAGTTTAGACACTAAATCAGAGTTGGATTAACGTGATCTAACACAATCTCCAGGCTTGGAGCAATGGGCAGAATAACAGCAAGTGTGTGCAGCAGATCAGTGGGGGCATAGCTGTCCAATGAATCCATATTGAGTACACCTCATTCTAATCCTAAGAAAAAAAGAGACCTTAAAAATTAGCAAGATGCCCCCAGCAGATCAGAAGACAAGCACTCTTTTGAAGAGAAAGGCACACAACAAGGAGATTACACCATTTCACCTAAATGGACTGTTCTGTTGGGATCTCACAGCTTTTCACCTTGGATTCTGAAGGTTTCTCTCAAGTTCTCCTTCTTTGAGCCACTTCTTTTTCTCAGGAGTGATGGGAAACAGCAATCGTTCATTTTTGCAGAACTTTCCCAGCTGGGATAATGTGAACATCCTTAGGAAATACAGTATGTTTGTCTATATTGCTGTCATAGTCCATGAAATACAGCTCCCCCTAAGACAAGCATGAAATCTCTCCCCTTGGCCTTAACGTTTGCTTCTTTATCTCCAGCTGCTTCTTGGAGAAATCCTCAGACATCACTCAAATTCAGCTTTACCTCAGCAACTAGAATGTCCATCAAATATTTACCAGAGTCTCTCTGCTCAGTGAGCTGCCTCAGCCATTCCAGTCCACACCATAAAACGTTCTAATTCAAACATCCCACATATTTTAATTCAATCTTTCTTGAGAGCTTTAAAGTAATGTGTTTTATGCTTTTTCATGACTCTGGTGCTGAAGGTGCATCCCCTTGTAAGATATTCTACCTTCAATGAGTCAGTCTGTGTCAATGATGATGGCATTTTTAATTACTCCAGAGAACATACATCAACACCCATTCATCTTCAGATCAAGACTCACTATGAGAGTCTGGGGCCATATGGCTCCCATTTTTTGTAGGGAAAAAGTGTGACAGGCTCAGTCCATTATCTTCCAATGGTCTAATTTATACACAAGCTTGGGGGCAGCCTTGGTGCCAGCAGGAAGTCCCTCTATGCTGTAGGGATCTCTGAACACACACTTGCTGCTCAGGCATATGAGAGCCAAAGGCACTATGAGCCTGATCTTCAATCCTGTGCACTGCAAGCACAGCCCTGCCTGCCCCTAGGACCACTTAAAATAAATGCTTAAATTTGAGCACGTCCTGTGTCAAGTGCTCATCAGTCACATAAGCACTCTATATAATTGGGGTCAGCAATAGCCAGTTTTCTGCAAGAAGACGTCATCTTTGGGCTAGAAAAATGATATGAGAAGTGGCTGCAGCCTGAGGGAGTGTCACTATCAGCATCTATCTGCCAGCTCTGAGCTTGTGCTGCACCATCCGATCAAGTTGAATGCGATGGGCTGAAAAGGGAGGGGGCAATAAACCTGCGGTGGGGCCAAATAGGATCCAGGATGAGTGTCAGTGAGTGCAAGCAGTTTGTCGTGGCCTCGCAGCCACCCCAAGGAAGGAGCAGGGCAAACTGGGGCCAGCCCAGCCATCAGGCACTCTACAAGGATGTGAAGTCAGCCCACAGTGCAGGTCTGGACTGGGGGATGCTGAGCAGGGCTTCTGTAGCCAGCCTTATTGCCCTTCTGCTGAGATGGGTTCATACAGTGAGGTGTGCTTTTCTCTTATTTTGAACAAGAAAACTTGGTTTTGTACAGAATCCTTTACATTATTCATAGTGCTCTTTCTTTGCTGAAACATGTAAGCAGTTGAGAGTTTACCACAGACTGATCAAGAAGAAAATCCTTGGGTTTAAAGCCACAACTTTAAAAATCAGACTTCAGACTTAATTTCTCCTACTCTCCACACCTAAGGCATTCTTGCCATAGAGAAACAGCATCATCAGACCTTGACATTTGTCCTTCAGGTGCTTTGAAGTGCTTGAGTCATCCTTGAAGGTAAAATCGGGATCATATGATATACATATTGATGTAATATTATTACATACAGTACATTGATTCTTTTCCTCTTATATTTGTTTTCTCTTAAAATAAGACAGGACACAAAGAGCAACCCAGGATCAGCCCTTCCTCAGGCCCCCAGGATGGGATCTCTATGAAGGGCTCATCACTTGCAGATAGAGTGGTTGTAAAGATGTCACCAAGGGCACGCTTTGATCTTCAGGTTTTTATTACTGGCAATGATGTGTGAGAAGATAGAAATGGTTTCTTTTTTTGTTTTTTATTTTTGTTCTCAGACATGAGATTGAATTTCCAGTCCTAGCAGTTAGGAAAGAAAAAAGAAAAAACAAAATATCCTTGGAAATACATGGCATCTCGTATGGAAACCAATGGAACACAAAGTTATGTTGCTATTTTTAAGGCATATTTTATTAGTACAAGTGCAGTTTAAAATAAACAGCAATCCCTAGAGCCTGTTAATGCTAGTCTCCCAAACCTACAGCTTCCAAATAGTATTGGTAGGAGGAGTCAAAGTCCTTAACACCTCTCACACTGGTGTAATCCCATGCAAACATACACAGCCGTATACACTGATATCAAAGGAGCTATTTGGGATTTGCATTGAAACCACTGAGAACAAGCTCTGACCTGCAGAGCCCAAGCACATGGGAAATACGTGTTTCCCAGACACATGAATATTGCATTAGGCCATGACAAGGTCTCTGCTCTCATCATCCAGGAGCAGACTCGGCTCATGTCCTGGCTGTCAGCCTCCCTCGTACACCAGCTATCACAGCACTGCTTCATACCTCTAATAGGGAGACAGGGAGGGCCTCAGAGATAGGGGAAATTACAAGCTCCAGTCCAGAGGATTTTTGGTGGTGCTTCACAATTAGGAATCCCTAATTCATCCTCTTTGTTCCCTGTGAATGTAAGATCATCCAGTCCAATCCCAACCCATCCCCACCATGCCCACTGTCCATGTCCCTCAGTGCCACATCCCCACAGTTCTTAACACCTCCAGGGATGGTGACTCCACCACCTACTGGGCAGCCTGTGCCACTGCATTGCCATACTTTCTGAGAAAAAATATTTCCTAATATCCAACTTGAACCTCCTCTGGTGCTTCTTATTATTCGCACAGTATAATTTGTCTCATGTTGGCCATGGATAGAGAATGCATAAACCTGCTGCTCTTATCTTTTTGTTAGCAACATGCCCAACTTTGCTTTTCAGACAGCAGTACATAGCTGTGCTACACCACACATATGGAACATTTCAGACAGTGTCAGCAATGATTTCTGTTGGCTAGGCTTTAAGTTGAACAAGTTTTTAGATCTCTGTAGTCAACTGCTTGTGGAAGAGAGCACATTATTCAAATCACTTTGATGCATTCAGTTAAAAAGATTTCCAAAATGGCATGCCTAGTTTTTTTGTTAATTTGTTAGTTTTATATGAGATAACCCAGCAGGCAGAAGTCAGTCCGTCATTTTTCATGCTAAAGAGTCCCAACCAAATTAATTGTTCCTCTACTGTTCTTATCTTTTTTTTCTTTATTTATTTTCGTATCTATTTTCCATCATCCTTGTGATGCAGAGCCCAGGTATAGAAAACTTTCACTAAAAGACGTCTTCAAAACTGTTTTCCACCTCAGATTCCCTATCAGTGTGGCAGGAAAAGCCCCAAGATGCAAGATGTGAAGTTATGAGGAGGGAGATACAAAAGAGATTATTTCCAGAATCTGTCTCACCTTTCTCCATTTTGGATGAAAATTCATAGAATTTGATTATGCTTTACTACAGAACATAAATGTGAATGAGAGTACCCTTTTCCTAACCTGTTCTAATAATCACCTGCGAAGTAACTACTTTTGCTAGCGGGGGACTGACTTCTTGAAATCTCTTCTTGTCCTCTGGAAAAAGCAGCAATTTTGCTCTCATTCGTTCCTGCAGCAGAGTTCACAAAAGAAATGCTCTGTGGGCTGCCACTGAGTGAGTCTGGTTTTGTACTTTTTATGGGGCTGAATGTCTTCATTTCAAATTTAAAAAAAAAAAAAAAAAAAGAAAGAAAGCTGAAAACATGTAACTGTGCTTTATGTCTAGAAAACATAATGCTATAGTGCAGTATTTGGCTCTACACGTGCACCTATAAATATCTTATCCAGGCACTTGGCAGTACGCTATTGTTCTTGCTTCATGGCCATGTGGATTCGAACCTTGGAAGCAAAGGAAATGTGAAGTGGATACAGAGCAGGAACATACTCCATTCCAGCTGACAATTCAAGGTTACTTTTGAAGTAAATAAAGTGTTGCTAAACAGATTTCTCTCTCTTTTCTGATAATAAAGTTGCTACATGCTGGATTTGACTGCTTTTCATTAAACAAGAGCTGCACAGGTCAGAAGGTGTGCAGGTTCAATTTGTTCTTTCAGCATATAAGTACCAAAGAGCGTTCTGTTATGCTGAGGGAATTAAGCTAACCTTCAGTCTCCCCCTCAGTACATGGCAAGGTTTTATAGAAGGCAAGTATTTTCTCTGGGCTCCCCTTTCTGCAAAATACCTCCTTATTTTCATGGGTTTTAGAAGTTAGAGAGGCTGAGAATGCCAACATTTCAAAGTGTTAACAGCCTCAGCATTAGGATTGAGAAAAGTACTGATGCCCAGATTTAAAGAACATTTTTCCTTTTGCATCTCACAGGTTTTCTTGTAAAAGGAGGAGCATGTAACCTTTCAGGATGTAGTGTCATACCATCCTCTGCAAGGGAGTGTCCAGTTGGAAGTGAAGGTATTTATCTAAGAGATTATTGAGTGCCTGCAGAGAGGGACAGAGCATTGCAGGGTTTGGGCCATGGTGGCGATGGCTTGATGGTTAGACTAAATGCTCTTAGAGGTCTCCTCCAACATTGATGATTCTATCATTCTATGATCCTATGTGCAGAAGAGCCTCCTTTGAAGCTTGTATGCACCTATGAGCTGGCGGAGAATAAGTACAAGCAGCTTTCTCTGTTAACCGTACCATTCATCTAATATCATTTCATCCAGTTTCTCCTGTTTCCCGCAGAATTTGAGGCTACTGATGAGAAAGGCAATGAAAAGTAGCCTGGTCATTTGATTTTATACTAGGATACGAGTGGCCTAAATGTAACTCTTTCCTGTATGATAGGCTCCAGCTTGCAGCAAAATCTCTTAAGCCCTCTATACGAGAACTAAACTGCTTGTTAAGGCAAGAGCTAACTCCTATGTGCCCTCCTGCTGGCATACCAAGCTCCATGGCAGTGTTTCCCTGTCTTGTACTTGGATAGAATCAATTGAGTTGGAAAGGATCTTTAAATGCCCCACTGCAATGATCAGGGACACCTAAAGCTCAATCAGGTACTCACAGCCCTGTCCATCCTCACCCTGAGGGATGGAACATCCACTACCTCTCTGGGCAACCTGTGCCAGTGTTTCAATGATTTTTATGATTTTTCCAAAGGCACAGGTTCAGTGCCTTGGGAAGAGATGGTCCATCCTATCACTTTTTTTCCCCAGTCATTTATTTTCCACCATTCTCTTTCTTATGCTCCTGCTGTTTGCCTTCACTTGTCCTGGTTCTCAGGTGGCATTTTGCTGAACCAGAGCACTATCAGAAAATAAAGCTACTTTAATACCTTTTGTTATGTATGTGTAAAACATAGATCTGTTTTCTTCCAGACAAGTGAGTTGAATTGACTCAGTGAAGTGTCACAGGAGAAACAGGTCTGGAGCAGAGACTAGAAATTAAATGCTCCTTTCACCATAGCAGCATGGAACACATAGAGCCTGGCATTGAGATGTGGTTCTCAGCAAGGTTTGCTGCTAACCAAAATCTTGAGACTGAAGCCCTAAAATGAGATAATTACACTGAGAAAGTGGCAAAATTGCCCCCTTCCTGGAAGGCAGTGAGATTTTCCCTGTAATAAGGCACCAATTACACCTGGGAATCATCATGGTGGGGCAGTGGTTGGAACATACAATCTTTAGCCATCAAATGATGACTATCATTTAATCATTTCCAACCTTGATTACTCTATGATTTTATGATCATCATCTAGGAGAAGGCAGCCAGAGAGGACTGTAGGCATAAGGTCACTGTATCTCCACATCACTGTTGCTGCTACAGTCCTGGCAATGCCAGTTACCAAAACAGATTCTGTCCTCTGGTCTTCTCTCCTTCCAAGTCCCAACACTGCAAGGAATGAAGGACTTTGCCATTAATAAAAGATCAAATCCAGAATAACTACTTAACTTATAGATAACAGTGAAATGGAGAAAGATAAGATCACTGGCAGTCAAAGATGTAGAATGAGCAATTCCTTATTGAAATTTCTTAGAGCATTACTGGGTTGCATGGGAAAAAAAAATCAATTAAGTTGTATATTTGCAGTATCTAATATTTTAAGTTTGCTTTAATAGTCCTTTACATCATTATGATCAGTGCAGTACGTGCATAAATATCTCCATCTCCCCAACATTTTCCTCTTGACAGGTTAGTTTTCTACCCACAGAGATATTGATGAGACACTTTTGTGCTCCAGATATGTGCATTTTTCTGCATTTTCAAATAGGAACCACCATTATCTTTTTGCAAGCTGAATATTTTTTATACATCATTTACCGGTGACTAATGTGTACTTCAGCCATGAGCTCCAAGGACTGTCATTTATCTTCCATAATGACCACAAGTTCTTAAAAAACCAGCAACGTACTGCCTGCAAAAGATGATCACAGAACTTAGTTACAGCAAACAGAAACAGAGCAAAATGTGTGTTGATATCTCTTGTTTTGGAAACAAACAAAGGAAAGAATCAAAAGCCTCTCCTACCTCTTGTGTGAAATGCAACATGAAGTAATGGACTTTAAATCAGTTAAAATATACAGTTTTATTTCTGTTTCTGACATGATTTCCTCATCTGGAAAAAAGATCCAAAAAAAAAGAAAAAATAATCAAATCAAGCACACACAGCAATGATCAATTCCATTGTCTGCCATTTCTTAGTGACTGATTACTCTCTGTATAAACATACGCAAGAATATCTGTACATGTATTTAGCACAGTGCTGCTGTGACCATAGGACACAAAATATCCATTCATGTTTAGCAAATTCTTCTGTGTGAGGGCAAATCAGATGCCATTTACTACAGGAAAATAAGTATTATTTTAAGAAGTCTGCTCAGGCATACATGTGTTTGAAGCACTGCATCGCAGAAGCTGACTAAGTATGTGCCAGACTATGCAAGACACATCTCTGGATGGAATTTAACAAGCCATGAAATCTCCCCTTGGGTTAATTGTAAGCAATTGCTCACCATCCTGGCAACTCTGTCTAAGCTGTTCCAATCACCGTGCTCAAGGAGTATGTTCTCAGCAGGCTGCTCTGCTTTCGATCCTGGGTTCTCTTGGGTCCTGGGCACATGTTGTGTTTCCACTGTTGTCTTTGTCATTCACAGTGAGAATATGTGCCCAATTTTTCCAGTGCTCCTAGTGATTACAAGTGCCCTATCTGACCATGTTTTCATGGAAAGAAAGCTCAGCACATGTATGGATGCCTTCTGATAAGTATTTCCTCTTCTGAAATTTTACTAGCAGTTTAACAAATAGTTTCCCCAGTGCCAAATAAGTTTCAGCTATGCAACAATTTTCCCACATGCTTTCAGATGCCATAAAACAGCTTTATCTCCATTCTGTGTCTTGATTTATTTTTTAGTGTCTTTCCTCCTATTAATAAAGAGCAAAGGAGTGATAAATGTGTATTTTACGCAGTACACAGCGCTTTATATGTATATTGTTGCTTCCAACAACTCAACCACCTCCTATGAATGCAGGCTCTACACAACTTCCTCCTGTAAAGAGGCAAACACACAGAACACAGAAGGCGAGGGAGCTTTTTGTCACCATTATTTACCAGGTCTGCAGGGAACCCATGAGGCCAAGTACAAATCCAAAAAGAAATCTCATTACCTTCTTTGGAGACAATGTCCTTTACTGAAGTTCACAGATGTTGAGCATGTATTTCCCAGTCAGGATTGACAGCAATCAGTCATATTGATAATGTTGACATCAACTGATTAAATTAGTGGTCACACTTCACATGTGTAATCTTGGCCAGTGTGTAATTTCTGGTTTCAAGTATCTCATAGTTTGCTCTCTTACAGGTTTCTAGCTTGTTTCTGATATTCCCAAACGCTTGCCCTATCCATCTTTCAGTATCTATCTACTGAAGCCTGTCCATTCTTGAGATAAATATTCCTTTATTCCCTACCTACACAGACAAATATCTGGGTGCAGAGATCATCCAGATATCAGTAGATTAAGATGAGCTTTTCCTGAGCTGACAAATAACCAAGTGTGCTTTGCTCATGGATTATGCGCCCACAAATATCTTTAAGACATCAGAGAAATCTCATCTTCAGAGAATGAGAATTTGGAAACAGAAGACTGGAAATTCAAAATCCCTGAAACAAATGTTTTCCACCTTCCAAAGTTATTAATTTACAAATAGAATTGCAATGAAGAATGTTTTCATGTTATAGTTGGTGAGTATGTTTGCCCAGGTATATTTCTTTTACTCCTCCAAGATATAGTCACTGATAAAGATGGATGGGCTTTGACAAGGTACATCTGTCATTTTCAGAAATGTGATAAGGCCACTCTGTGCTCAAACAGTCTTGTGTGAGCACAACAAACACTGAGTTTGGGGAAGAATATCCTTGTCTGCGTTTGTGTTTTGTAGCATCAGTAATACGTACCTTGGGAGCATTTAATCTATAGTATCAACACTGTTTATGGTGTCTGGAATTTTACATGGCTAAAGTAATTACTGTGATAAATGCCAGTAATATTTTAAAATTAACATTGAAGCTTCCTTCGATTTAGATGCAGAAGATATTTAATTGGCAAAGATGGCATTGCACTAAATTCCATTGCTCTTCAGGGCCTGATTCTGCATAGCTGATTCACAGAACAGTCTGTATTTTCATCCTAATATCTGGAGTCACTACAGGACCAGGTCTTGTTATGGTTTTCCCTGTTCACATTCTCAGTGTTAATGGCTTCAGCTTTTACTCCTCTTATAGGAGTCATCAAGTCTGCAGTACTTCAGAGTATAGCCTACAACTTAGCTAACAGATGGACAGATAAGTCCAACTTTGTCTGTTTCTCCTCTGCTCTGGAAACATCATATAACCCCTCTCAGCAAGCTCAGGAAGAGTTCTCAGTTTTGTTCTAATCGCAGCCAAAGCACATGAATGTAGGGTTTGTCTCTGTGGTGGAAAGAGCTCCAGGGTCATCACTACCTGGTCGTCACAGAGGGATATGACATTGACTCATAAGTCATGGGATGATATCTAAGACAGCTTGGAAACTGTCACCATTACCAACAAAGGGGCATGACTGAATGAGGATCTCTAAAGGAGCAGGTTCAGCCTCCATCATGGACTGCTCTAGTGCTGCAGCAGCTTCATTTGCAGCCCAAGGGAATTTTCCCTAAAAACCTAAGAAAGGAATGCAGAATCAGTCTTCTACACAGCACCCAACTAATGAAAACTCTATCCAAGATGAAAACACTTTCTATGAATAATTCTTTACCAGTTTAGAGAAACACATAATCATATAATCATTAAGGTTGGAAAAGACAACTAATATCATGTAGTTCAACCCCAACCCATCCTACCATACCCACTGACCACATCCCTCAGTGCCACATCCCCATGTATCTTGAACACCTCTAGGGACAGTGACTCCACCACCTCCCTAGGCAGCCTGCACCAAGACCTGACCACTCTTTCATGGAAGCTTTTTCCTAATATCCAAACTATATTCAGAGTGTTGTGCTACCAGAAAGTTATCCAAGAAGTGAAACTTTCTCTAAGACTTTTAGACGACAGAGCTGAGCCAGCCTAAAGGTCAGTGCTAGTAAGAGACTGCAGCCCTTGCGCCTGTATCCTCCTTACTCCCTGCTGAGCTTTTATGCTTCTCTCTTTGTGACCCAGGTGGTTTTCCTCCTGTTGATGAACTGATCGAACTCACTAACCCAGCAGAAAAGCAATCCAGCAAAAAGTGGAGCTGGCTCATGCAGGGGTCAGATAGTAGACCGGGGCTGCTGCTGGAGGGAAGGTGAGTAGGAAAAGGAGGAGAGCTTAAAGAAAAGAGAATTCTTTTTTTAGTGAAAATGAATCATTGGTTCAGCTTGGATGTATTGTGTGGTCATGCTCTCCAGTGGGAAAAGGAATGTTATTTCTACTGTTTCTGAATATCACATCAGGCTCTTTTCATTGGTGCCCAGTGCCAGGACAAGAAGTACAACTCAAAATCAGTTTATCTGCTCAGCCTAGCTTGCCATGGAATGGAATCACAGTAGAATCACAGCAGAATGACTATGACTGCTATTCAATATTTGTGTCTAGGCCAGCAATATCTTTTTAGCACTATTCTGTTTTAGCAATTGACTTTGCAGATATACAACAAATCATGCTGGAAAGGTAGAACAACAGGGAACTCCCCACCACTGTCTCCTGTCACAAACAGTGGCCGTATCCATCTTGCTGTGTGCTCACTAACTATCTTCCTTTTGTTGGATGCTTCCTGAGATGAATGAAGATTTTTAGACATTGAATTGTACAGATTATGGACTATGCTTTCTAGTCACATTCTACACATATTCTACCTCTAAGCCCTGCTCCGTGTCCCTGCTATTGTTAATAAAGAAGTTGTCAAGCTATTTGAAAATCCAGGCATTGAACAGAGTCAGCAGGTACCTGACATAATCATATATTCAGCTACAAGATCTTCATTTAACCTGAACACAAACTGCAGGGCCTTTCCATTTTTTTTTTTCCTCAGGAATTACTCCTGTATTTCATTCCAGAACACTTGTCACTCTGGTGAATATTAATTAAAAGTTGTAATTAATTAAAATGTCAATTAATTCCTTTATTTTATTCTTCAGGGTAATATTGTATTCAGTTCAAGTGAGAGCAGCAGGTGAGCTTACCAGAATGAAATAAAACAAATCTCAGTCTAAATCCTGCACTGTGGATTCTGAAAGAAGTGATTGCTTCATCACCATTTAGTAAAGGGAGAGATAGGGTTAGAGAGCATCTCCATGAAGGCAGGCAGACAAACATGTTGCAACAGTTTGAGGACAACTTGAGGTCAGTATATGAATGAGCTTTCTTTGCTTTAGAAGTCATGACTGCATGCCAACGGGCATCTCTGAAACAGGTTTTTCAGAACGACAGAGGGAACATGGAATCTTAGAATCACAAAATCTTAAATGATTTGGGTTGGAAGGGATCTTAAAGCCCACCCAGCTCTAACCTCCTTCAATGGGCTGGTTGCCCCCCCACCAGCTCAGGCTGCCCAGGGTCCCATCCAGCCTGGCCTTGAGCACCCCAAGGGTTTTGGCACCCATACCTCTCTGGGAAGCAGTGCCAGGGCCTCACCACCCTCTGGGTGAAGAAATTCTTCATAACATCTAATCTAAATCTCCCCTCTTGTAGTTTAATGCTACTCCCCCTTGTCCTATCACTACCAGACTGTGTAAAAAGTCAGTCTCCTCCTGCTTATAAGCTCCCTTCAAGTACTGGAAGGCTGCAGTGAGGTTTCATTGGAGCTTTTTCCTCCAGGCTGACTAAGCCCAGCTCTCTTAACCTCTCTTCATAGGAAGGTCAGCTATGCTTTAGCAAAAAATCTGCATGTGGCTTCAGCAAAACTGTTTTTCAAAATCCAGATTCTACTGGAGTAGACAACAAGGCAGAAATCACCATTTGTGCAGCAAAAGAACGAGACAGAAATTGAAACTGGTTGTTTTTTTTTCCACTGGAATTCAAAAGGTTTAGAATCAATGTAAGTGTGAATGCAGGATAGAACTGCAAGAGAGCTCTTCCAGAGACACTGCAGCTAATCTCTAAATGACTTTGATAAGAAAGCACTAATTGCAGCAATAGCCATGGGAGTTTAATAATAAAGGATGAAAATTCCCATACATGTAAAGTCAACACAGAGGCATGTTGTTTACCTGGAACTGCTGATGGTCTTCTCTGTTATTGTTTCATTTCCTCGTAAAGTTTCTCAGAAATCACAGTTATTGTATCTCACTTCCTCCTTTTTCCCTCCAGGGGCAGTTCCTTCCAGATCAAGGCAAACAAAGAGTTTATGATGCATCCTCTCCAGACATTATGAAATGAGGTTTTGTAGACCTTTCCTGTCAGTTCACACAGATGATTCTATTGAGAGATCTGAGATGATTTTAAGAATGTGCATTTACCCTTAATAATAACTGGGTACAAAATACTGTGCTATACAAATACAGTCTCTCCTTTTGTGTTTTTCTAAATCACTTACATCATCATCGTAGGCAGGATTTATCTGACCAAAAGAAGCCAGCAACGTGACTTCTGCTTCTGAGCAAGTCACATTGACTCTCTGCAGCCACAGAAGCACTTTCAAGACATCAGATGTCTCATTCCAACATATATGAGATGAACCACAGCCTAAAATAATTTTCCCTTTCTACTCATTGTAGGAGAGGCCTTGTATGTCCAGGTCAGAGGCTGACACAGACAGTACAACCCAGGTGACATGCTGCATTATCTATCTATCTTTCTTGGACAGAGAAAATCCGGGAAAGCATCTTCACTTTTACATCCAATTTCATGTCTGTGACCTCAGTCCCGTAACAGCTGGATTTTCCATAAAGATAAAAGGAACATTATTTGGGGTAAAAATAATTACTTTTTCTATTCTTGGATTTTATCCAGAAATTCCAGAGATGAAAAATAATTAGAGATTTCAACTGTACACCATTTTTTACATTCTGAAAGTCCAGTTGTCCACTGATGTTGTTACAGGGGGGCAGCGTGCAGGAAGCGTGTGTTGGATTTGCCCATGTATGAATTCACTCAGGAGCTACACTCATCTAACAGATCAAGAAGGAGATATCATGACACAGCTCCAGAGGTCACCAGCAAGCGTTTAGTCAGCACATTTATCCTAGCCAGGCCATCTCTGCACGTCTCCAGATCATGAAGAGGGAAGATCCTTCTAACCCAAGCCTATCTTATGATTCTAAGACACTGTTCCAAGTATGGGCTTCAGACCTTTTAAGTTTCAAAAACTTAGGCTCACACTGTTGGAAGCTATGCTAAAATGAGCACTGCTGCTGAAAAAGAGGCAAATAAGTCTGGAATACATCAGATGTCTCTTCTGAATTTGAGTTTTAGTTGCTGAGCACTAGAAAACTCCATCTCCAAAGTTCCATCTGGAATATCAAAGGGCAGCGCAAGAGCCTGGGTTTCATTAGCAGCTAGCTCTGTGAATTGGCTAATTGATGCTTTCACCAAAAACCACTTAATGTACATGTCAAATAGAAAGGAATTCATAAGTTCTGCTACAATTTACACCAAATTTCCTGCCAGCTGGATCAGGCCCTTTATGTAGCTAGAGATTAGATAAGTGCAGCTAAACCAAGACATTGCTCTTGCTTTCACTTCCAAACAATCCCTGTCACCACGTTTCTTCCTTGCTCCTTTGAGACAATCTTCCCTAAATGCACACAGAGCAGAGGGAAGGTGAGGCACAGAATGATTGTCTTGACAGGACTCTTCAAATAAGGTCGGTTAACTGAAAAAAGAAAAGTGAGCACCTGCATACAGTGCCTTAGTCCGGAAGGCCCAGGCTTCTTTGCTTCATATTCTTATAACAATATTTTCCAAGTTTCCTCCCATGATAGCAAGAAATGACTGTCTAATTGGGGAGAGCAGAGCAGCAGATTAGCACATAGTACACTGAATAGCATCTCAACATCTGCTGCCACAGATTTGCTGACAGCTGTTTCGGCAGTGTAGCTGGAAAATCTGATAATCTTGAACATTAAATTTCTTGTTAGCTTTGCAATGGCAAGTGCCAGCCTCTAGCATGACCCAAAAGGACGATCTGCAGCTTTGAGCAAATGCTGCTGGCTACACCTGGGTATCACATACAGCAACTCTGAGAGAGCACATCTGGACACAGCTGCGCTGGGGCTGCCTCCCACAGGGTGCATGTGGCACAACTTCTACTCCCCAAGGGGTACTTTTTAAATTCCAATGTTTAGTTCTATTTGCAAGCTTCAAACAGAGGTTCAGGCTGAGTCCCTCTTCTACAGAGTACCCAGAAACGATGTGCAACCAGTATGGGGACTCACTAAAGGCTTTGGAAATTGTAGAATAAGAGAAGAATTTACCTTCACTGGGACCCAGTAAGCCTGTGTGAAACTATTACTCACTGCACTCCAAAGCTCTGTGCTTAATGGGGCTGTGTCCGTTGGCCAGTAGAAGACCATGATGTTTGTCTCAAACCCACAGCAGGGTATATTTTGCAATGAAGATCTACAACTTCAAGGTGCTGGGATAAATCAGCTGGGACTATAACGGCATCAAAGCACCTCCAGCTCATCCCAAGAGCAGCAAATGCTTCCAGGCAGCCATAGATTCACCTGTATACTCAGTTTCTGCACAGTACACCCTACCAAGATGGTGTAAATACACCTTTGAAACTCCCTTCCAGAAGTCGAGTTCCAGGTGTATCACAGGTTGGCCAAGCACACAGTCCCACTTTGTCATAAATAAAAGAAAAATTTGTCATCTGGGAACTTTGTAGTGAGCCCAGCCCTACGATAAGACATGGGTACAACATTTGGTGGCTGTAACTTATTTGAACTTCAGTGCTTAAGAACAAGAATAGGCCAAAGCTAGGAAGCTCTTCCCTTAATTACCTTTTTAAACCTGATCTCACCATAAATGACAAACACTGATAACAGCAAGAGTCAGTCCTAATAACAGTTGTGCGTTTTTGCAAATCGCAGTTATCTGCATGGCAGCCCACAATCAGCGGGAATGCCAGGAACGTGTGAAATCCCAAGTACAGGCATTACTTAAGAGGCCCATTAAATACCATTCTCATTCTTGTTTTCACAACTTATTGAGTAGCTCCTGCACCCAAATACTATTTCATGCCGGATTACACCAAGGGAGAAACAGAAGTTCCTCCTGTGGTGAGGTTTAACCCTTTAGAACACAAAAACCTCTAAAGAAAGATTTAAGACCTGATCAGAGCTAAAACATTTAGGATTTCAATTAAAAGTGGTATTAAGCATGCCAGTGCAACTGAGCAGGTTGCCCCTTTCCAGCTCAGGCTACCCAGGGCCCCAACCAGCCTGGCCTTGGGCACCTCCAGGGATGGGACATCCACAGCTCCCTGGGCAGCTGTTCCAGAGCCTCACCACCCTCTGAGTACAAAGAATTTCTTTCAACATCAAATCTAAAATTTCCTCTCTTTTAATTTAAAGCCATTTCACAGAATTACAGAATCACAGAATTGTAGGGGTTGGAAGGGACCTCCAGAGATCATCGAGTCCAACTCCCCTGCCAAAGCAGGTTCCCTACACCATTTCCCCTTGTACTATCACTATCGGACCATGTTTCAAGGGGAACAAATCAACTTGCATAAAAGTCTCTTTCAAAAAGCAAGGAAATTAATAAAATAAGATGATTGCTCTTCAGCATTTCTATACAGAAGTATCACTGCCCCCCAAAACACCTATCTCGCATTCATGCCTGTATATAGCCATAACAGCACAGACCTAGTCACAAGCTGATATGGGTGCTACACTAGAAGGTCCTTAATAAAAACTGGTCAGCATGATCCCCTGCATAGATCTTCAAGGTTGGAAAAGTCCTACAAGATCATCCAGTCCAACCATCACCAATAGTTCTCACTAAACCATATCCCTCAACATAAAATCCAAATGTTCCTTGAACATCTCCAGGGTCAATGACTCCACCACCTCCCTGGGAGTCCCATTCCAGCGTCTGACCACTCTTTGAAAAAAGTAGTATTTCCTAACATCCAGCCTAAATCTCCCCTGGTGCAGCTTGCAGCCATTCCCTCTAGTTCTATCACCAGTTACACAAGAAGAAGGCCAACCCCCAGCTCACTACAACCTTCCTTCAGGTAGTTATAGAGATCAAAACATACTTTATTTAATTAGTTCATTACAATAATTATTTTTGCTATTTCACACTTCCAGGGCTTTGCAATTAAGGCAGGAGCTGGGACAGAACACGAGTTACAGGGGGTGAGTTGTGCCTGAATGCTGTTAGCCAGGAGCCTGCAGCCACATGGCACCCAGTGCACTGAGTGTGAATTTACTGGGCCATAAATAATACCCACGTGTGCCTTATGGAGGAGATAAGCCAGCTCACAAAACAGGAATTTCAGGACTAGGCATAAAAACCTCCATTCATGCCCAGACTGCACACAAGAGAAGCAAAGTTGGGATGTCTTAAGAGGTCCCTACCATATCCCTGCTATCCCAGAAACACTGCCACAAACTCCTGTTTCTCCTTAATTTCATATGCAAGGTACTCCATGGGTGTAAAGGAAAGAAGTTCCAGCACCAGTTTTTACTTACCGAGCTCTGTGGCTTTTCATCAGCAGAAACTACTGATGGCTCTGGGCCATTTGGATAGGAGGAATGTGAGGACCATCTTCCCAGCTGTGCAGTTAGCCTCATTTCCTAATCATAATCTCATAGACCTGGGAGAAACCAAAAGAAATAATCTTCTGAGACACGTGGACACTCAAATCTCAATTTAATCTTGAATGAAATTTAAGTGCCTAAGCCTTACTGACTTTCACGGGCAGTTTGGGTTGGATATTTTGGCAGACTGACCACTTTGTGCATTCCCCTTTTATTTATGTCACTAGAGATACGTTCAGCCACGATCATAAATGGTGTATTTTATCCCATTGGATTACAAAGATGAATCTCTGTTTCAAAATCAAATCTGTTCTCCCACTGAGCCAAGTGAAGAATTATTATATTGTTGTAAATGAGAAGAGAAATAACATTAACAAAGGGGTTGGAGCGAGGCTTTGGCATCTTTAGCATTTTGGCCACCTGTATAAATACAAAGCCAAATCTCAGAGTGATGTGACGATCTGTTAATTTTACCACAAAGCATAGTGCAGGGCAGCATCTCCATACACCACACAGGCAGCGCAGGCATCAGCAGGATCCCATCTGCACAAATAATCATGACCATGTACAGGGCCAACATGATCTTGCTCACCATCTCTGGGTCATCTTGGTGTTCTTGCCTTGAGAAAATAAAAGACAAGACAAAAACTCCACTGCAAACCAATGTCTTGACCACTCCACGTCTCTCAGTAGGAGGTTGTCAACATTCCTTCCTACAACAGAGCAGTCTTTGTAGCTCTGGGAAACAAACATGTCATTTATGTTCTTATGAAGCATTCCTGGTTTATATATGATGCATTCAGAACAATCCATCTTCTATCTTGGTGGCCTGTTTAGAGACTTAGGGAGCTGGCACTGATTAAATGTCTATAATAGAGAGCATTAATTTACCCGTCAGTAGAAAAATCACCATTGTAAATTGTCCCAGTCGGTTTGTATATCACCGAATGATACGCCGCGTGTCCTGGATGCATGTACTGAACAGCACTCGTACATAAAGCACGTTCAATTAGCAGCACCCGCGTGCTTCAGCTGGCAACAGGCAGGAGGTGAGGGCAGGATTCTGCTGCCCTCTTTAGGATTTGTGCCGTGGACTCCTCTGCCTGAAGAATGAAAAGAAAGGTCTCTCTATGCCTGAATTCCCACATGCAATCCACAGCATCTCACAGAAATGGAAAAACATTGCCATATCCTTTCCTTTTGCTGATCATGCTATACTGCTTGCAATCTTATTAAGATTTTTTTTTTTTTTTTTTTTTTTTTTGCTGTGAAGAGTAGAAAAATATTCTGTGTACATAGAAACACAGAATGTTCCCCCATCTGTTGATTCCCAGTCCCAGCTGAAATATCACTGTTACTCAGTAGAGCCCTTGGAACACAACGGCAAGGTCCCCATGCCCTAAGTAGAGGTATGTACTGGTCTCACTTGAGCAATGGAGTATCTTCCAATTTGCAGAGGGTATGTGGATATATCAGGAAAAGATGGCCTAACTCTTATTGTGGTAGTAGAGGATGAAAGGTAGTAGAAGATGAAAGAGGTATGAGCTGGGAATGAGTTAAGAATAACTGGATTTGGGAAAGCAAGGAAATACACTACACATGGGACACAGCTGGCTGTGGACAGAGACGCTCAGGTTCTGGGGAAAAGACAGCAAAGAGAAAGTGAGGAGCAAAAGAAAATCTCAGTATGTTTGTTTAAAACTCTCATTGTGAGCTACACATTGTGAGCCATTGTGCTTCTTTGTGCTAGCCAACCCACGGTTGGCTCCCTCTTTCCCAGATACTGCACAGCCACGGGGCACAAAGGTGAGACAAAACAAGGCAAAACTTCCATCTTGCTAACCACTGAACACCTTGCTAAAGAGAAGCCAAATCCAGCTTGCCTTTCCCTTTTTTTTTTTTGCCAAACATCCCACAGAAGAAAAGGAGATTATTTCTGTTGGCAAAACACACTGTTCCTGTCTCAGTATTTCCTTTATAAAGGCAGTGCCTTCAGATCCAACAGCATTCTTTTCACAGCACCAAAACTGTTTTTCCCAAGCCTGCCTGTGTGGCTTCATGCCTGCTTCCCATTCTTGGGCACACAGGAGCTGCAAGAAGTTGAGATGTGGGCTTTTAAGAAGCAACATTGCCACTCTGACTACTCAGGAACTCCCTTAATCAAAGCTCCTGGCACAGAAATCAAGATGTGGTCTTTCATAGAATCATAAAATCGTTTGGTTTAAAAGACCACTAAGATCATCGAGTCCAGCCAGCAGCCCATCACCACAATACCACCAAGCCATGTCCTTCAGTGCCACATCTCCACACTTCTTGAAAACCTCCAGGGACAGTGATCTCACCACTTTTCTAACTGCCAGACTGGCAAAATTAATAAAACAGATGAAAGGCCCTTCTGCCATTCATCACTGCTGATAAAGGTCCTACCATCAGAACCAAGCTCACAGTATTGCTGCTGATGCAGTAAGCAGGAGGTGACCCAATTCCCTCTCACAGAGCCACTGCTGCTTCTGCCACGCAGGTCCTACAGAACTTGCTAAGCCTCAGGGACCTGTCAAGGCATGGCTTCAAACTCTCTGCCTGGTTATATTGCAGGAGTTATTCAGAAGGTGCCATCCTTTTAGAAATTAAGGTCAAGGTTATGAAAAACAAGTTGTGATTTCCAGCAGGTCTTCTGCTGAGCTATTTTAAAAGGATGAGCTATTTTTAAAGGCTCTTTTTTTTTCCTCAAAGGACTATAAAGTATTTGGTAGCTTCTGAAATCAGATATTTTCAAGGGCACAATAAGACTTTGGGTGCAAACACTTTCAGGCTCCACTAGGTGATAGCCCTACTGGAAGTTGTTGAGCATCATTAGCCACTGGGAGGCAAAGTGAACAAGTCAAGTATGTCCAAGCACTGCTGTATCTGTAACTACTTTCAGGCTGTGGATGGCCCCATTTCATCAGCTCTGACCACACAGAATCACCTCCCAGCTAGGTCTGGCTGTGGAGAAGCTGACAGCAAAAGCTCAAAGCATGCACTACGAGCTGTTGAGTTTCCACAACCCCAGCCCAACATTTCAGCACTGTGCCAAACATCTGCTTCATGCTAGAGTCCTCACACAAGAAGTTAACTTTATCTGCAGAGCTCTGTGCTATGCACAAGTAAATCCCAGTGCATTTCTTACCAGCATGATTTATCAGTCTGGCTAAGAAAACTCAGGTCTCAAAAGTCTGTTGTCAAAGTTAATGGAGCAAGAATACAAACTGCAGCATCTTAGGGCTATGGTCACTTCTCCACAGCATCCTCTTGACAGCTTTGGATCCAAAATTCTGCATTACTTGTCCAGGCTGCAGCCACACATCCAGCAGTGGCATGCAAACACCTTTGTTTCTGGCCTACAGAGCCTAAATGAAGGGGAGAGTTCTTCTTGAAGCTTACATCAAAAGACTGAATCAGTTGCACGGCTACCCAAATGAAAGAATGGAGGTGATGGGCATGGAGGGAAGAGCATGGTATTTTGCATGGCTGTGCCATATTGTGCCCATGGAGAGCAACATGGTCACTGCCTGGCCTCACAGGGAAACAACCACATGCAAAAAAACAAATGCCCTGCTGCTTGGTGAAGGTACTGAAGGATCCTTTGTCTCCTTGATAAAAGGTGCAAGAGCAAGGAAAGAAAGAAAAAGGAAAGAGGAGTTCTCTACAGGAAGGAAAAGCAGGGAAGAAGTTAAAAAAATATATATATATTCATATTGACCCCAAACTTTGTTGCCTAAGAAGCACAGAACAGATGTAAGACAAAACGTAACAGCAACACTAAAAAAGCACCTGAGTCCCAAGAATGAAAATTATGACAAAAGCAAAATTTTGTCTAATAGTTAAATCATCAATAACTCATATTTTCTGGGAGTAAAACCAACCAGAAATACACGTGCTGCTGTAGCCTGTGCTGGGAGGCAGGGACAGTGCCTCCAGCAGCAAATGCAAGTTTTTTCCCTCCCACCTCAAAATCAAGGTGACCACGTCCTGGGCTTTAAAACCCATTCAGTCCCTAGTCAGCAGCAGTAATAAAATGAGTACATAATGCCACCTTCTGGCTATAGTGGAGGACACAATAAAACGCTGGTAGGAAGACGGCGCTCCATCCCTCCTGCATGGGGGGGAATGATATATATCACTTGCTTGGGGAAGTCAAATTTCTTTTGCTGACTTAATCCCAGAGCCAAAATTAATCAGACATCCCAGCTAACAGGATCAGGAAATGCCATAAATTATGCTGCCTCCAACCTAACAACAGCATTAACAGCACGAAGAAGGTGGAGGCCTTTTTTGATTAATAGCTGTTTAAGTTGCCTAAAGGACCTATGAAACCTCCTGCTGGCTGACACAATGAACAACATTTTATATTACCCGATAGAAGGAAATGTCTTTAAAAGTGATGGATTATGCAGATGTGAGATGGAAGCTATGTGATGTGACTGCCTCAGAGCTGTGGACATGAAGGTCCCCTGCTGCCCTCAGCAGCCCCAGAGGAGACACTGTCACCTTGAGCTGAGCACCCTCAACAAAAGCCACACTGTGTAATGGGTTGGGTTGAGGTGGCTCCATACAGAGCTAGAAAGTTGATGCAAATGAAATCACATGCAACTCATGGTACATTTTCTTCATGCACTATGCAACAATCTCAGGAGCCTCCTATTCACTCCTATGGTTGCTCTCCTGAGAAGTCTTAGCACTATGAAAAACCTTTTTTTTTTTTTTTTTTTTTACATTCTTTTGCTTAGGGTGAGTCATCCTAGGGTGACTGGATTTCTGAGCATCCTCTACAATTGCACTACTGTACACCATTTTTAATTTACATGAAATGGGTAATGAGCCCTTCTCAAATGGAAGAATTTCTTCTCAGAAGGAGTGGCAGTGCCACTTACACAGCACAGGCTGCACAGAGAGGTGGCACAGTTACCAACCCCAGAGATATTCTGGAAAGCGGAAATGTGGCACTGAGGGACGTGGTTAGGGACATAGAGGTGATGGATCAATGGTTGGTCTAGATGATCTTAGAAGTCTTTTTCCAATCTTAATGATTCTATGATTCTAAGCAGGAAAAGGTGCATTTTACACTTCTCTTGCATTGGTGCTATCAAGCGTAGCATTAGTAAAGCAGCTGAAAACAAAATCCCATGACTGTTCATGTTGCCAAAACCCCACTGCCAGATGTGATCGTGGCTGAAAAGATCCTTCAGGGATTCTCATAATTTCAAATATATGCCATTCCATCCAGCCAAAAAGTTTTGTCATTGCAATTCAGCAGTGAGCATTTCTACATAGGCCCAACGTTTCCTCTGACATTACCTTTGGATAATAATTCATCCACAGTGACAGAGGAAGTTTTCCAGAGTTGAGGCAGAAATTGCCATCAGATTTGAACACCTCAAAATATTTCAGAAGGACCTCTCCTAATTAAACTTCCTATTCCTTTGACAACTCAAGGATTTCAGTTCCATTCCTAACCTCTTAGACTCACGCTCTTCGCACTGTGCTCAATGGCCACAGTTCTCAGCCACAGATTAAATTCCCTCCCTATGTAGTCCTTAATAATTACCCCTTTGAAGGGGCTCCGTAAAACCTTATTTCCTTGCTGGTCACTTCTCCAGTTCAGTGTTCTGACTCTTGATTAATAGCTGTTTAAGGCTCAGTGCCTTAACATCAGGCCTTCCAAATTACTCCCGCTGCCATGCCCACACCAGGTCATGTTGATGGACAGTCTATGTCCCAGCCACTTAAAGCCTGGCTGAGAGCATGCCCACAGGAACATACCTGGCCTGAAATGAGGTGCTCCTTTTTTCAGATCTGACTCACCTGCAATTTTCTGAGCACAAAAAAGCTTTTGAAGCTGTTTGTTCCATGGAAAAGTGACTGCTTTCCTTCTAGGCTTGAAATAGTCCCAAGCCCACCAAGCAAGCTTACCTTGTCCTCAGGCAGGCCAAGGGTGCCCATATCAGGTGCCTTATTCACTCACTCTGTCAATTAATCCAGACAGGCCAATGCTTTTACCTTTGCTAATTGATGCAACGAGTACCTAATTAAGAGACTCCCCATTGCTTTGCAATGTTGTCTGGCTATTCAGCCAGGTGGAGCCTGAGTAGGCACCCTCCTCTCAGCCTGAGCTGCTTCTCCAGCTGCCAGTCATCAAACATCACCTCTCCAACAGGGCTCAGGATGATGTGTGCTCTCCCTGTCATGCACACAAGCGGACAGAAACCTCCCTCTACTGCCTCCTGGTTTGTCTGATCCAGCAAATGAATGCTTTTGTGCCTTTGTCTACACTGACCTACTTCTCCCTCTCATCTTCTGCTGACTGTCTCTCTGGAGTGTCTGACTCACTGCAGACACAGGGATGCTGAGCCTGCCCACACACCTCTTCTCTCCTCAGTTGCTGAATTGCTGAATAAACCTTCATATTAGACATGGAGGTACTGCCCTGCCAGCTTGCCAGCAATGGTTCTTCCATATTTCTTGTGAAGGAAGGGAGGCTTAGGGTGAGGAGGATCAGGAAGACAAGTTGTTCAGGAACATTGGTGGGCTACTAGCAAGGATATCTGCACACCCCATCCATTCCTCTTTGCCTGTACAGATCCATGAGCTGGGCTAAATGATCCTTGTGTGTCCCTTTCAACTTGAGATATTCTGTGTTTCTGTGCTTCTCCAAGGTCACAGAATCACTAATGTTGGAGAAGATCACTAAGATCAGCAAGTCCAACCACCAACCCACCCCATCGTGCCCACTAAACCATGTCAATCAGTGCCACATCTCCACAGCTTTTGAACACATCCAGGTATGGTGACTCCACCGCCTCCCTGGGCAGCCTGTGCCAGTGCATCTGTACTGTTTCTGAGAATAATTTTCCCTAATATCCAACCTGAACCCCCTGGCACAACTTAAGGCCATTACCTCTCATCCTACTGTTGTTACTTAAGAACAGAGGTCAACCCCCACCTTGCTACAACCTCCTTTCAGGCAGCTCTAGAAAGTAATAAAGTTTCCCCTGAGCCTCTTCTTCTATAGACTGAACAATCCCCTCTGCTGTTCCCCATTTCACCACTCAGAACACGCTCCGGGGCCTCACTGTCTTTCTTGGAGTGAGGGGCCCCAAACTGAACGTGGTGCTCGAGGTGCAGCCTCACCAGAGCTAAGTATAAGAGAATGATTGCCTTCCTCCTACTGCTGGCAACACTACTTCTGATACAAGCCAGGATACCATTAGCATTCTTAGCCATCTAGGCACACTGCAGGCTCATGTTCAGCCAACTGTTGGTTAACATCCTCAGATCCTTTTCCTCCATGCAGCTTTCCAGTCACTCTTTCCCAAGACTGTAGCATTGCATGGGATTGTTGTGACCAAAACAAGGGACCCAGCATGTTGGTTCCTGGCCAGAAAGGTCACAACCACTCACCCTGCTGTGACATCCAAAGAACCCACTTCTCCCTTCTTTCACAGCAGATGGAGGGGTCAGCAAGCAAACAGATGCTGTCAATTTCTTGCCATGTTTGTGCTTTCTCCACATCTCAAGCATGCACTGAACTCACCAGCAGCCTTTTAGATGCCTCTGGCTGACAAGTGGAAGTGCTGGAGGAAAGAAATAATTTTTTACCACATTAGCAGCTATCTTTGATTCATGCCACACAGTTATTTTGGGAACTTAATTTCTAAGCTTAATTTCTTCTAGTTGAGAAGTGTTTGTGTTGAGTCTGAGCATAGACACGTTTAACAGGAAAGCAACCAGGCGCTCTCAGACTTGATGCCAGAGTACGGGTAGACGCACAAAGAAAGCAAGTGAGATGAGTTTTGATTAATTGCTGGGTATTTGCTGCCATAGCGATAGAAACATTTGCTTCAAGCTTTTCAGAGAGGAACATGAAAACGTTTGACACAGCTGCCTGGCTCTGCAGCCAAGCCTGTGTGCTGCTGGTTAACTCTCAGCCCAGCATTAGTGAATGAACAGGACAGGCAAAAACATTTTTTTTCACTTCCCAAGGCAGCAATGCTTGCTGATCGAGCAGAAAAATAAGTGAACTATAACATGGGCTAGTTTAGATAGAATCAGAAAACATACGATTTCCTGTTAGAAGCCTGGCCATCTCACAAATCCTCATTTCATGCTTTTTTTCCTAGGAATGTTCTCATAGTTTACATCCAAACAACCTAATTGGAGGCAGTGGCAGCTCTTGAGGAGGAAATGCAGGACTGCAAGGCAGATATTCTGAAAGCACTTTCACCTTGTCAGAAGTGTTTTGTTTGCATCTTATCCAGAACTGCGAGGAAACATAACCACAAATACTTCACATGGTACTTTGAATTTAATAGCTCGCATGGGCTACTGTCTGAGTTACTGCCTTTTATTTTATGACTAAATTAATATTATATACACAAGAGCACATTTAAGGTACCCAACAGGGTAAAAGAAATGATTGCTTTGTTGAAAAATATAAATTTTTATGCACAGAAGTTATTAGTAAAGCCACATTCCCCAGTCCATTAATGTGCACACATTTAAATTTTCCTTTTATTTTTTTTCTTTTGACCTTTACTTTCAGATACTGCAGTATGCTATCTTCAAGCTTTAATAAAACAGTAACTCACTCATGCTTTTTATGGCCTACTAATTTGTCTGTTGTGCCATATATTGGATTTCATAACTTTTATATGCAAATCAATAAAAACTCCTTTGATATTTCATTTAAATCATTGAATAATTAACAGATCCCAGCCCTCAAGTCAGCTAAACCACGTAGCGTGCAGCTAACATTCACAAAACTTCAAATAAAAGAGGGCGTAATTTAAGCCTTGGAAAAATCCATCGTATTTTTATAAAGATAATTAGAAAAACTGTGCTTATTAAAAGGAGGAAAAGGAGAGAAACATCTCATGACTGGTAAAACAAACAAACAGAAAAAAGCCTTGGTTGTGTGATAGTAATTGCAGATAGAAAACAAAAAGAAATGGAAACATACCAAAAGGACTCCAATGAAGTGAACATCTACTGGCTGGTACCATCCCAATAGCTGTGAAGATTATCCTGGAAACATTAAATCTGTGCAAAAAAAGTCCTCAAAGCATGCCATCATCTCTAGGTATCCTGCAACCACAGCTGTGAACAAGAAACCTTTTATTTCACTGGTTCTTGGCAAAATTCATCAACTACTTCTATTTCATTAAAAGGAAATGGTTTAGTTTCATAGAATCGTATAATCATTAAGTTGGAAAAGACTGTTAAGATCACCCAGTCTGACCATCAGCCCATCATCAGCACGCCAACTAACCCATGTCCCTCAGTGCCACATCTACTCTTTTCTTTTTCAGGATATTTTGATGATAAATGCCAGTTTTACTGAAATTTACAAACGTTTGTCTTTTCAGCAAGGTGTAAAATCAGATGAGTATCAAGAGTAAATATTGTGAATGTTGTTGTGAAATGAAAGAGCAATTCATATTATTTCAGTGGAGCAGGTCCTGGAATGAAGAACACACAGCTTATTTCTTCTCATGGGACTAAACAAGAATTCCAATGCAGGGCTTTTCTTAACTCCCCCAGTGCCCATCATGTCTGCCTTTGGGTAGCCAGGGCTGTTTTGTTATTGTGCATCGTCCCTTTACTCATTTAATTTAAGGCCAAAGCACTTGAAGATCTGAGCATTCTTCCAGAAACAGAACTGATGTCTTCTATCAAGTCTCAAGCTCTCAAGATCTGGTGGCAAAGAGGTCACAAGGACAATTTAAGTTTGATTTAGTTTCTTCACTGCTCTTTACAAGCAAAATTAGAAGCCTGGAAAACTGGCTTCTTTATACATTTTTGGACTTCATTGGTTGGAAATACCAAATTAAAAGCATAGAGAAAAACTTCCTGATCATGTCAGAGCTGTGGGACCAAGCCACTGAAGGTGGGATTTGATTACCAAGACATCCCAAGTGGTACAGAGCACCTACTGCCATACCAGTGCATGAATACACTGCACTCCCAATGATTCTTCCAGCCAGGGTTTTACCTAAAACCCCAAGTCTTTGAGTCCTATGGTAAAATCAGACTGAAATTTCATTTTCCTTGTTTATGAAGGAAAGGAGAACACAAAAGTTGGCAAAGCAGTGGCTCATTATTTTGATTCTTGTTAGGAATCACACAGTAAAGGGAAATCCTTCATCTCACAGTCTGAAGGATGCGGGCCTTGGTTTTGTAACACTTCAACTTAGTTGGCCTGGCTTCGTAGCCATCTGTCAGGATGTTACCATCTCATTATATCAGAATGTATTCCCATTACTGCCTATTTAAATGTCTTTACCATTCAGCCTGGTGCTGGACTATGCAGAAGAGACCAAAAATCAATTCAAGATTACTGTGTAGTCATTAAAATGCGGAAAGCTTTTAGATCTTTCACACTAGCATTGGCACTGTCTCCTGATATTTACCTCCTGTAGATGCAGAGGAAAGAGTTTATTGAAAAGAAATTAAAGACTGACTTTATATTTGTGTTTGTTTAACTAATGAATTTTTGTTTAATAGAGATCTGCAATACCATGTTAAAAAGGGGAGCACCAGACTGAAATAATGGTTTGGATCATGAAAGGATGAATGGCAATACCATAGTGTTTTCTCTTTGTGTATGCCAACTGCTGACAGAGAGTAATTCTTCATAAAATTGGTAGCTTATTCAAGAGATGCTGATTTAGTTCTCTGTCCTTCCTGATTATTGGCCATAATATCAGGAGGAGCAAAAATAGAGCAGACCCATCCAACGTTGGTCTGCCACTTCGTGGTGAGGTCAAAGTCAAGGAAAAAAGAAACTAACCTAACTAGGGCTGTTCCATACATTACTGACTGCTCATATTGCCTAAAGAAAGCTGGCACACGGGGCTGATCATTAAGCATATGCTTTCAAGGTCAAGGGTGCACTCTAAAAGCTGGCTGGTTTTACACGGGCATTAGAAGAGTGCTCAACTACTCTCCTCATTACGTTAAAATAATTTTATGTTAATTCTTTAAATGTCAGTTATTCAGATGTTTTCATGCTGCACTTCTAGTTTCAAAGTTAATTCTTTTGAATTGCCATATAAGCCATTTAACAAGGCTCTATGCAAAAGGTCTCATTTTTTAAAAAATATTGATTTTCCTTTATATCTTTTCATCAAGGAATAAGCCAGAGCTTGTGTTCAGAGTCCAATTGCTTATTTTGTCTTTATTACTTCTGGTACATTTTCAATGTTTTACATTTAAATCTGTGCAGTTCGCTTTATTGTACTTGTAACCATCTTAATTTATTTTCCATCTCTATTTTTTCTTTCCAGTTAAAATGAATACACTCAAAGACCATCCAGTGTTTGTGAACAAAAGAGCACACATCAGGAGATTTGATTTGGGATATATTTGGGCTTTTGCATAAAGGCCCAGGCCGCATAGTGGCCTTTTCAGATCTTACAGATATCTTACCTTCGAATTTTAAGTGAAGCCCAGCTGATTTTAATCAACTCATGCCTTTCTATGCTCCATCAGTCTCAAAATGGGTAGGAAAATTGCTTGTTGTCCTAAACCATTAGTGTCCTTGTAATTGAATGGGACCCAATGTAAGTGTACTGCAATAAAAATTTAATCTGTCCCCAAATTCCATTAAAGACTATTGACAGGTTACACACACTTCCCTGAGCCCAGGGACTCACCTAGTGGACATTAGGAAAAATTTCTTCAGAAAGAGTGGTAATGCAGTGGCACAGGCTGCCCAGGAAGGTGGGGAACTCACCCCAACTGGAGGTGTTCAAGAACCATGGAGATGGAGCACCAAGTGATGTGGTCAGTAGTGTGGCGGTGTTGGGTCAGAGGTTGGTCTAGATGATCTTAGAAGCCTTTTCCAGCCATAATGATTCTATGATTCTATGACAGCAACAAAGCTTGGCTGTATCATGAACGTAAGGATGCAAGATATCAGTTTAAAATGGCTCAGGGCACCTGGCAAAAAGTGTGATTGCAGGTGAGTCGTCAGGCTGCCAAAAGGGATAGAAATACTGACTTACCACCTCAAGTCAGATAACCAGCTGATGTAAAAGAGCACCAGTCCAGCAGCTGCTAGAGCTTGGCTAACTAGTTGGAGTGCCATTCTCTTTACTGGACAAAATCAACCACAAAGCACAACTAGGAGTATGACAATGCTGTGGTTACGCTGAGGGCCCTTTTAAAATTTTTTATTGTTGCCTCACGGGAGGAAAAACAGAAATGAATTCATCCTCCCTTTGAGTAAATGCAATGAAAGCAAAAATCAAGATTAACTCAGGTTGTCTCCTGCTCTGAAACTGGATTCTTGTCACTGCTAGACCAGAGTTCCAAACAAATCAAATTCTCCAAAGAAACAATGATGACTTCAATATATATGTTTAGAAAATGCAAGGGCTTTTGCTTTGCTATTAAAGTTTAATTAGTAATTAATATTTATGCAGCTATTGGTTTGAATTCTTCAAGTTACATAAATAAATATTAACTTGTGCATGATTTAAAAAAACAGCCTTGCCTCTGAAATTTATTTGTGCGACTCTCTATTACTTATTCATTAATTCATGCATAATTCCAGCTCCTCTTCATTCCAGATGGAGTGGGAGGGAGGGGGTCACTCCCTTGGGACCAACGTGCACGGTTTTAATTCTCAATTTAGTCTTCATCACTACAAATTAAACATTTAAAAATTCTAAACAGTGTGTTTAGCAATGCTGTCGTTCTAATCCATCAGTTCTTTAGGTATGCAACAGGACGGGCTGCGGAGCAACACGCAGCACCTGAGCAGAAAGGCCATAGCATGAATCTGTGCATCCCAGCTCACTGAGGTCAGTGAGTCCTTCACCTTCCCTGTATACTGGTTAGAGAAAAGAGCACGGGCTGAGACTGCAGCAAGCCTCTGAGATACAAGCTACAGAAATGGGAAACGGGCACCTTTAAGGAGGCTATTTAGTTATTAACTCCTAGGAAAACTTCCCAGAGCTTCTAGCGTCTCTTGCTAGGCACATGTTGATAAACAGTGCTTGATACATTTTGCCAGCTCCCTTTTTTATAGAATTGTTTGAGTTGGAAAGGAGCCTTAAAGGCCATCCAGTCCAACCCTCCTGCAGTGAACAAGGACACCTACAACTCATTCAGGTGCTCAGAGCCCCGTCCAGCCTGACCTTGGCTATCTCCAGGGATGGGACAACCTCCACCTCCCTGGGCAACCTGTGCCTCAAACCCTTATCAAAAGAAAGTTTTTTGCTATTGGGATGGCTAAGGGAAAGTATGTGCAGTCATTTCCTGCTATCCAAGCAGCTGCATTATGAACAACGGCCTATATGACCTGAATACTCCTACAATTAGTAGTTTAATAACTTTTATAACTTTTTAAGAAACAGAGATTCTTCCACTTCCAACTACGTCTAATAGTCATGCAGCACCATGCTGGACAGGAGAGATGGGGTACTCTAGGTACACTCGTAAGGTTTTTGAGGTGGATTCTGCAGATCATCTGAAGCGATTATTCAAATCCACAATGAGGCATTCAAACAGCCTGCAGAGAACAGGCAGCTAAAATAAGAGCTCATCTCTGCCCCTGTTCCTAGGGGAATGTAAATAGATTGAGGTGCTGCCTCACACCCACAGCAGTGCCCGAGGCATTGACAGCCTGTTTTTCCTTTTTAACCTAGAAGGAGAAGACTCCCTAAAATATCAGCAAGCCATCCACATTTTCCTGTGGCTATGTGCCTTTTTTCCCTGCAGCTGGAGAGGATTGATGTCTCCAGGCCTGGGAGTTTGGCCAGAGGAGTGCTGGCATTACTGCATGTGAGGAGCACAGAGCTGTTAATGCTGAGGCTGCTGCTGGGCACAGCCAGCTCCTCTCTGTGCTGCTGCGTGGATCCAGACACAGCTCTGTTCTCTGATTTTCCATTCCATTTCACCAAGGCAGTGATGTCTGGAAACACTTGTTAGCAGAACAATTTCTGTCTCACACTATCTGAATTCTGCTGATAAGATTAAGCTGCAGTCCACAATCTCATTTCTGTATATTTCACAGCTACCAGGCATCGTGTAGAAAGCAGCATTGATGCTATATGGATTCCCTCTATTACAACTGTGTTGCCAATAAAAAT